GGCGTGGCCAGGCACCCTCTGTTGCTAGGTGACAGCTTGTTTACCCAGTTTGCTACCAGTGTTTCCGAACATCTCTCGGGGAATGGAACCAAAAATAAACTCGTGACCTGGCGTGACCCTCATTCCCATTTTGCATCGTTCTTGCTTGTCCCACCCCCCATCACACCTCAATGTTCCCGTCAAATCCACTGCCCCATTTGGAGTCCATGCCAACCGCTCTGTCCACGCCTCCATTCTGCACCCGGGTTGGCATTGCACGGTCACCCTATCACGATGCCTTCGTCATGGCCTTGCACTCCACCCCAGTGAACACCATCCTCCTGGGGACTTTGCGGGCCTCTGACTTGCTCAGAGGCAATGGGGGAGTCTTCCATACCCCAGCCTCAACCCCACCGCAGCCAGCCTGTCCCATCCTGGACCGCCCCCTGCACTGTCACCGGGAGAGGCTGCTCCTCTCTTGCCATCTCCGACTCAACCCCCGCCCCCGGGAAGACACCACCATCAGCCCCATCCCTCCAACGAGTTATGTCCCACAAACACCTCCCACACAGTGACTGAAGCAGGCACATGGGTTTCTTTCAACACTTTATTTTCAATGACTTTGCCCAAGGCACCAGGCAGGCTCAGGCTGCCTGGGCTGTGAGGGGGCCTGGCGTCCTAGGGTCGAGGCCCGGGGAACCCATGCCATGCTGGGCAGCTACTGCCAGCCCGGGGCCACTTGGGATATGGTGGTATTCCCAAAGAAGCCGCTGAGCAGTGCGTTGTTGTGGATCGCCATGTCCAGGAGCTCCGGAGTGATGCGCCTGCGGCCGATTTTCTGGGCCTCGTTGCCCGCCAGCTCCAGGACGGTGGTGGTCAGGTACTCGATGATGGCCGCCAGGTACACGGGTGCGCGTGAGCTGAAGCGCTGGGCATAGTGGCCTTCCCGCAGGAGGCGCTCCAGGTGGCTCACAGAAAAGGACAAGTCTGCTCTGGTAGACGGGCTGCGGCTGCGGTTGCGGTTGCGGTTGCTGTTGCTTGTGCGGCTGTGGTTCCGCCTCTGGTGATCGGAGGGCCCTTCACGGCTCCTTTGCCCAGACATGCTGGGCGTTAGGTGCACTTTCTCCAACCGGCCTAGCTCTGCAGTGCGGTCAGGTGCGGTCAGGTGCGGTCAGTTGCGATTCGCCAGTTGGTCTCAACCGCTCAAGATAGCCAGTACAGAGGCTCCCGCTCAGTGTTCTAACGACCACGGACCGGCCCCTCATTGGTCGAGGCACAGGCTCTGTGACCTACAAGTTCGGTGAGGTCACTGCTTTCCCATTGGCCCCGGCGGGCCTGGGCCTGCAAAGAAGGGGCGCTGGTGGCACCCTACTCACCCTTGCTCACTGGACCCTCTCTTTGAGGGAGCTCCTACTTTCTACTAGACTGGAACGCTGTATAGAAAAAACAGCAACCATGTATGATCCAGTGGCACCAGGTATACACTCGTGGTGTTGGACGGCCATCGCAACTATCTGCTTCCAAAACGGTGGAACTACCCCCAAAATGAAACCCCTGTACCCTTCAGGCAGTCACTTCCTACTGTCCTCCTCCTATCCCCCACCCCCAACATCCCCTCTCCTCTTCCGATAGACCCCTGGCAACCATGAACCTGTTTCCTGTCCATAGAGGTTTGTCTATTCTGTAAACTTCCTAGAGAATGAATCATACAATAAATAGTTGGCCTTTTGTGTCCAGCTATTTTCACTAAGTATAATGTTCTCATTATGATTCATCCACTTAGTAGCATAATCAGCACTTCATTCCTTTTCATGGCTGAATAATATTCCGTTGTATGGCTAGACCACTTGTTGTGTATCTGTTCATCACTTGATGGATGTTTGGGTCATTTCCACTTTTCAGCTATTGTGAGTGGTGCTGCAATAAACATTCTTGTTCAGGGTTCCATTTGAACACTTGTTTTCAGTTCTTTGGAGTGTTTACCCATGAATAGAATTATGGGTTTATTTGGGGACTCTTAATTTTATTCCATTGATCTATGCATCTGTCCTTATACTGGCACTACATAGTTTTGATAACTGCAAGTTTATACTGTTTCGAAATAGAGAAATGTGAGTACTCAAACTTTTTTCCTTTTTCAAGATTATTTTGACTATTCAAAGTCTCTTGAAATTCCATTTGAATTTAGGATTGGCTTTTACATTTCTGCAAAACAAATCATTGGGGTTGTGATTGCAATTGCATTGAATCTGTCGATAACTTTGGGTAGAATTACAATCTTAGCAATGTTAAGACTTCCAATTAATGAGTGCTGATATATTTCCATTTTTTTAGGTCATCTCTAATTTGTTTCAGCAATTCTTTATAGTTTTCAGTGCACAAGTCATGCACCTCCTTGGCTAAATTTATTCCTGCATATTTTATTTCTTTCGGTGCTATTTTAAATAGAATTGTTAATTTTATTTTGGATTTTTCATTGCTAGTTTATTGAAATACAACTGATTTTTGTATGTGGATCTTGTATTCTGCAACTTTATTGAATCCATTTATTAACTTTAATATTCTTTTGTAGATTCTATAGGGATGTCTAATACATAAAATGTCATCTGAAAATAGAGATAGTTTTACTTCTTCCTTTCCAATTTGGATGCCTTTTATTTTTCTACCTCATCATTCTGGCTAGGACTTCTATTACAACCTTGAATAGAAGGAGTGAAGGCAAGCATTGTTGTCTTGTTCTGTTAGGGGAAAAGTTTTCATCTTCCATCACTGAGTATGACATTAGCTTTAGGTATTTTTTTAAATGCCCTTTATTATGTTGAGGAAATTTATGTTGTTGGATTTCATTGAATGCTTTTTCTGCATCAGATGATTCTGGGGTGTTTTTTTTTGTTCACTAATGTGGTGTTGATTAATCAATTTTCTTATGTTGAACCATCATTGCATTCCTGTGATAATTCCCACCTGGACATGGAATATAATGTTTATAATATACTCCTGGATTCAGTTTGCTAAAATTTTTATGAGGATTTTTGCACCCATACTGATAAAGAATATTGGTCTGTAATTTTTTTCTTGTGGTATGTATGTCTGGATTTAATATCAAGGTAATGCTGGCCTTGTAGGATAAGTTGGGAAGTTTTCCTTCCTTTTCTATCTTTTGGAAGAGTTTGCAAAGGATTGGAATTAACCTTTGTTTAAACATTTTGTAGAGGAGAGATCCAAGATGGTGGCAGAGTAGGGGGAAGGTACACTCACTTCCTCCCAGGACCAAACTGGAATTAAAACTAGAATATAGAACAATCAATCTAAATAACCAACTGAAGACTAACTGAACAGAAGTCTTTTAACCAAGGATTTACAGAAGCCACATCATGACTGGTAGAAGTGCAGAGACTTGAAAAGAGCTGACCTTGCTCCCATGGGGCAGAGCTGAGAATCTGGAGGGATATCTCAGCTGCAAATTTTCTCCCTGAGTAGTGAACTGTCTCAACCCCACACCAGGCTCCTCAGGCCACAGCACCAGAGCCAGGAAAAGAGCCCATGTACCATCTGGCTGTAAAAATCAGTGGGAATTCTGACTGCCTAGAAATTATGGGAATCTGCTAGAGACACAGGCACCCTCTTAAAGGGCCAATGCACAAAATCACATTCACAGCCACACACCCTGGGCTTTCTTCCTAGAGTCACGTGGAGAGAGACTGGGGTTTGTGGCTCTAGGGAGAGAGCTGAAGGGATAGCTACCAGGATCCCTGTGCTGAGTCCCTCTCCTATACCATAGATGCCATCTTTCTTGGATGGAGTACTCTCGTCTTTGCAGCATCAGCCTGGGAGAATGCAATAGCCTCACCCTCTGGAATCACTGTCACCTTACCCTGCACAACTCATACCAGGATGAGGAGTCAACTGCCTGGGCAAGGGTGTAGAGGTCCGGGAAGACTCAGGGAGTGTCAGTGACTGACTTTGGTGGCCCTAGGGCAAGGGCCACTCCTCCTGCCTTCCTCCAAGCCTGACTGATGCTCCCCCTTATGGGAGATCCACTGGCCCCACCTTCCCAACTCCCAGCAGCTCCACCCTGCTGAGCTTGAGCTCTTGGCAGAATCTAGGACACACTGAGTTGTGTGGCTCTAGAACAGGGACCATTTTCCCCTCACGCACCCAATTGGTGCAGAGCCCTCCCTTCACAGGACCAAATTTTGGTCTGTTTGGGCCTGATGAATTCTGCTAGCCTCACCCTGACAATTTTGTGAAACCCTGCCTTTCTACAAAGGTCTATGGGCACCCAGAGGATGGCAGCTAAACTTATTATACCCTGGGCCATTTGCTGAGGGGCCACAGACCTGGCACTGACATCAAGATTGAACTTGTATCAGTCTAGTGAACACCACTTGCCCCTACCTGGTGACTCACTGAGACCCTTTCTCATGCGGCTCAAGTAATGTTAGAGGTGCTTTCAGTGACTGAGCCAAACAGGCAGCGAGGAGGTAAAGGCAGGCAGAGGTGAATCTCAGATGCCTTGGAACTTCTGCTGACCAGCCCCCAAACTAGGTGCTGGTGGAAGTTGGCCTTGGTCCACAGCTTGGTCCTTCCCACATACACTAAGGCCCAACAGAGGCAGCCACAAACTAGTTCTAAGCAGGTTGCCCAAGGCCAGTCACAGGCAGCATCTGACATTGACCTGCATCGGAGTCCCTCCCAAGAAGCCCTAGAACAAATACACCCAGTGGCAAGCTTCAGACAACATCAGAACAAGATTAAATTAGCTCCACAAGTAGCACATTCAAAGGGAGATGTTAACAGGCACCAGGCCCTGCTGAAGAAAATTCCATTTTGTGTGGCTAGTACCCACACAGCAGCACATACACTGTAGTCATGGTCAATCCCCAGTCTGCCAGCCTAAGGGTTGACCCCGCACACAGACAGGACAACAGCAATCAAGATTCAATTACAACAAGAAGGCTCACAGAGTCCACAAAAGGGATATTCCTGTAGCACCTTGCTTGGGTGATCAGGCAGGCTGTGCTATTGAGCCTCATAGGACACTAACCACATAGGATCACCATAACAAGATAGGGAAGCACAACATATCTAACTAATACACAGAAACAAATACAGAGAGGCAGCTAAAAACAGGGAGACAAAGAAACATGCCCCAAATGAAAGAACAGAAGGAATCTCCAGAAAAAGAACTAAATGAAATGGAGGCAAGCAACCTATCAAATACAGAGTTCAAAACAATGGTTATAAGAATGCTCAGTGAGGACTTAAACAAAGAAATAGTAAGCATGAAAAAGGACATAGAAACTAAAAAAAAAAAAACAGTCAGAAATGAAGAATACAATATCTGAAATGAAGAATACACTAGAACAAATAAACAGTAGGTTAGATGTAGCAGAGGATCAAATCAGTGATTTGGAAGACAAGATAGCAGAAACCACACAATAAGAGCAGCAAAAAGAAAAAAGAATTTTTTTATAATGAAAGTAATATTTATTGAACTCTCGCTACATACTGGGCAGTCCTGTTAGCAAGTTACATGTATTATTCATGTAATCTCTACAATAACTCTACAAGAAAGGGACTTTATTGAAATGAATAAAAGTACTTTTAATAATGCATGAGACAAATCATAGTGGGGTTTGAAAATCTATGTAACTAATAATGGATATAGAATTAAGTGAAAACATATTCATGGATATTTATAGCCTTATAGTCTGCCTAAGAAAGGGTAACAGTGCACAGCTGGGCATGGCTCAGCAGTTGAGTATTGACCTAGTAACCAGGAAGACTGAGGTTCGGTTCCCGGTCAGGACACATGTCCGGGTTGCGGGCTTGATCCCCAGTCAGGGGCGTGCAGGAGGCAGCCGATCAATGACTCTCATCATTGATGTTTCTATTGCTCTCTCTCTCTCCCTTCCCCTCTCTGAAATCAATAAAGTTATATTTAATAAATAAATAAATAAATAAATAAATAAGAAAAGAAAGGGTAACAGTAATGGGTTCAACATCAAATTTATAAATTAGAATAAAAAAACAACAACACAGAATATACCTAAAAACATAAAATTAAATCTGTTTTAAATTATTTTTTGTGGAATAATAAACATCTTGTACAGGAAAAAAAAAAAACACCACAAAGCACAATCAACTCTTATAAATGTAAGAGGACGAAAACGACATTTACTTCAGCAATTTCATATAAGAGAAAATAAAAAACTACTATAAACTTTTGGATTTGAAAACTTATTTGAAATTATCCATTTAGACAAATTCCTAGAAAAACATTACTTTCTAAAATGTCCCAGGACATCAGTTAAACTTGAATATTTCTGGGAAGTTTATTTTTTAATAATTTTTTACTTTT